GGTAAATCGCAGTTTAGCACAGGCATTTGTAGATTCAAATATCAATGTTTGTTCATTAGTTCCCCTAAACATCACACATTTTGCTTCTTGTTTTCTAGTTTGCTCAACTTTGTCCAGTGGATCAGAAAGACATGGCCCTTGCCTTAATCCATTTGATGAAAATTTTGCTTCTGTTATTACAGAAGTTTTTTCAATTTATTATTTTTTTATGACTTGTTATTTGTATATAATGTTTGATTTTGGATTATACATATTTTTACAGGATTGACAAGAATATATTGTGTTGTAGAGGTGTACTTTACCTTCGTGCTATTTCTCATCTTTGTAAGTGGTTAATGTACCATACATTAATAAGTTTGGTTTTTATTTGCTTGAAATATACAACATTATTGGAGGTCCTATTAATGTTTTGCTCTTATTATGTATAAAATAACTATTTTTTTATTTTTTATGAAACTTATATTTACTAAATTTCTTTCTTTTCCAGGAAGAGGATGAACTTCCTTCTACAATTATGGTTCACAGTGTCGATATGGATTTGCTTCCTTGTCTTGTTAAGGTACATTGGACATTTAGTTGTACCAATGGTAAAATGTTCTCTTTTTTGTTGGAGAAAATGAAACTCTTATTGTTATCATATATGTGTAGAGCTAATGAATTCTCAATGTTGATTGGATGTCTGGGTAACATCACTGGAAATATGTGATCCTTTCCCTTTTTCATTTTTCCTTTGGTTTGGATTTCAGGAAGGTGATTGCATAATCCACCGAGCTGGGAAAAAGGGTAAAATCAGTTATGGGTGGCTATATGTAGGAATGCATGGATACATTGATAGGAAAATCTCATTATTTTGTTGGTCTTTTATCTTGAACACTTGTAAACATGTTATTTATGAGGAATATTTATGTAGTTTCATTATAGACATTCCATTTCTACTATTGGATTGCTTTTTACAGTCGAGACTGCCATCTTTGATTTTATGAAAATTTTAAATTTTTGGTTTTTTTCAAAATTTTACATTTCTATTTTTTTTTAATAGAACCTACTGGGCACAATAACAAAATAGTGCAAACGTGGATGGAGAAGGTCATCTGACAAGTTGTCAGAACAAGGACACAAAAAGGCCTTTATTTGTGCCTGCCTCTTTGAGCACCAAACAGTCTATTGTGCCCTTTTAGCAATGGTGACGCCCATAGAGGGCACAGACACAAAGATGGTAGCTGCAGTGTTGCTATTGGTCTATGAGCACAATTGTTGGTGCTTTTTGACCTCAAAGGGCACAGATAATTTATTGTGCGCAGTGCTCATTTTTTTTGTAGTGAATTTGTATTGTTAAAACACTGGTAGTTGGCATGTGACCGAGAGAACAGGTGCTAAAAATACCATTTGGTCCAGCACCAAAACTAACCAAACAAGTGGAACAAGACTTTTATTATTGCCAAAAAAAAAAAAAAATTTGATCGTGCGATTTTTTAATTTAATTTAAGAAAATAAAAACCACACTTTTTTCTTTTTTTTTTTTAACTCCATATGCTTCTATGTTTAATTTTGTTTGTTATTTCTGTATGATTTATTCAATTAATCAATGTGTGGTTATCATTTTCCTAACTTAAACTAAATTGAGGAAAAAGATTTGAACTTAAATACAGAAAAAAGAATGCATTGCTTTAGCTAACTTTGCGAGACTCAAACTTGCGCAGATTGTAGTAGTTTTGATTGTGCTGTTTCAAAAGAAAAGAGCAAGGTTGAGAAATGCTTATGTTGCTTGGGATTGAAGGTTTGGTATGCATGTATGCATGTATGTATGTATGGAATAATTGAGATTGAATAACAACAGAACGGTAGTGAGTGATTGGAGGGCATGTGTAAGCAAAAGATCAAGTCATATAATGGAGGGCATGTGGGGGTCCAAATCCAATGCAAACCTCACGAATTCTGTGAAGAATTAACTTTTCCCATGAAGAGTGGATGGCCTTCTCAATTTTCTTCCCTTGAAAACAACCAAGCACTTGAACCCAAAAACCAATCATCATTGGGAGCAGGGTAATTAGTTTTTGACATTTGATTACAGAAATAATCAGTTTTTAGTAACGACGACATATTGATCATATATTGATGACACAACGATAACATAACGACTACATAAAGATGATATAATGACGGTAAAATCTGATCATTTCTGCAGCCAAACATAAAAAACAAATCATTACAACTAATTGCCCTTTTATTCTTCCTTTTATTGAAAAAAATAGTACAACTAACAACATATATTATTTATTTACAACTAAACTTCTCCAATTCATGACTTTCTGTATTTCAAATAAATATCTAGAAACTCAAATCTCTTCATTACAAATGCAACTAAATATATAATGGTTTCTTCTTGATATGGGCTGCCATCCAATAATTTCAACCACCCTCCTTTCTTCTTCTTGTTTTTAGTGATTTTCCTCTCCTTCTAGTTCCTTTATGGTGCAATATACCCATTATTTACCAAAAAGTTGAAAACTGACCCATCCATGGACTTCAACTATCTACCTTAAAATCTAAATTAACTCTTTTTTTTTTTTTTTAATACAAACGATATTCCTACTCTTTGGGAGCCAAAGTCGCCCAATACGGGGCCGAAAATACAATTAGCAATTTCAACAGCTCAGCCTCCGAGCCATTCCGTAGGAGTGGAACGAGTTTCTGTCTCATATAGCTGGTGCCCAAGAGTGGAGGAAATTTAGAGAGATGGGGAGACCCAGCAGCTGCAAAACCTTCCCACCTTGCATCAAACATAAGATAGTACCGGAATTACATCCGTTAGCATTCGAGCCTTTTGTCCACTACAGCCACAAGCAGTAGGGAGGTAGGAGCAAATTCTTCCACCATATAAAATGATGTAACTACAAGAAGTTGTTTATGAACAGTAGTATGAAATACCGATCCTCAGGGTAACTACGAAACGCAAACAAACTATCTCACGAAACTGCTGGGCAGGCGAAGTCTCTTCCAAAATCACTTTCAGAAATTTTCAGATTCTCATCACAATTCTCTCTTGCAGAAGCAAAACAATATACACTTTATACTCTCTTGGTACCAAACAAGGTGCTCCTTAACATCTTCTTGCCTTAAGTTTCTGAGGAAAGAGGAAACTTTCCACCACGGAACCTCGAAGCTGCATCACCTGCAACTGCAAGTATATAATGCCAAGAATGTCTAGCTCTGAATTCTTTTATAAACACTAATACTGTGACAGCATAAATATGGTCTAAGCATGTCAACCCAACCAAATGAGCACCATAAGAAGATTATCAACATAATCCATATCAGTAATAAGCCTGCTAGGCGGAAATACCCGAAGCCTAAATCAACTACCAGAATATATACACACACGGTGGTGCACCAACCATCTATCCACACAAAAAGAATCAACATAAATGGTAAATATCTTCATGCAGACCAGAATGATAAACCAAATATTCAAGGCATTTTTCCACGTCAGCAATCCATGGCAAAGGACTCCAAGTCAGCAATCTCAACTCCAGCATTTCGAATTAATCAACTCACCCTCATCAAGTCAACTGCACAAGTTGGATAATCTTCACTCTTTGACAGATAGAAAGGAATCACAATCCTTCCTCATCTAAAACTTCTGTGTAACTCGGTTTTGAATTTCAAATGTAATTACGTGATATGTTTATACTGTAACTTCATCTTGTAATCTCTATATAATGAAGTCCATACCTCACTCATCATTAACTGAGTTGTGCTTATGCAATTAGTGTTTCAAACCTGAGTTTAAATTCTTTCATAGAATTCCTCGCCGTTTGTTTTGGGTTCTTTACTCGTTTCATTTAGGGTTTGTAATCTGTGGGATTTGGGTTGGAAGATTACACTCTTTTGTAGTCTTTGTTTGTTTAGTGAAATTTCGAACTATGCTTTGCCCGTGGACATAGGCTTTGCTGAGCCATGTAATCTCTTGTGTTCTTATTGTGAGATTGTTTGTTTATACACTTTCACCTATGACGTTGATATTTGGTGTCTTGTTAGAATTCGCTTTTGCTTGCACTACAACAAGTGGTATTAGAGCCTTAGGCTTCGACTTAGGCTTTATTTGTCATTCATGATGAACCTTTCTGTGTCGTTGGCGAAATTTGATATTTGAAGAATTATACAGGAGGAATGACTTTGATATTTAGCAATTGAAGATGCGTGTTGTGTTAGTTTAACAAGGACTTCTGAAAGCGTTAAGGGGAAGAAGAAGACCTCTTACAGTTGGCACTTGAAGCAATCTTGTTGTTATTGATGTCAAATCAGCATCGGAAGACAATTATTTTCTGAAAGTGACTTGTCAATCTATGTATAAAGAATAACAAACTCAGTAAATGTCGAACTGAAAAATCTGGCTCAAAATCACCTCTGCTTCCTGAACCCTGCCCTTCTTACACAATATATTGATCGTTGTATTGAATGTCAGCAAGCTTGGTCTAATCCCACTATAAGCATCTGAGGACAACCATTTCGAGCTACACTAACCATCTCAAACTTTCCCAATTGTATCAAAAGCGTATTAAAACTAAGCAATGTAAACTGAAAACCAAGTCCATTCATTTCATTACCCATTTGAGCTCTTCCTCCTTCCTACAAGCTTTGATCATCAAAAATCCTCCAACGGTTCGCGGGCTCGAAAAGCTGAAGACCAACATAAAAATGTAGCATATCTTTTGTAACCTTACTTTGGAAAACAGAACTTAAAGTTATTTTATTGTTCGACAAACTTCGTTATGATATAGAATCACATTAAAGTTGAAGACAAACATAAAAATGTAACATATCGTCACCTATTACGAGCGATTATTGCAATAACATTTTTTCTTGAATACTAAAACAAAATAAAAACATTAATGAGAAAAAGAATTTTTGAAGTGGAAAAATCCTAGTCCTATAATTCTCCAACAAGTAATCTTGTAATCATATAAAGAAACTCTAGACACTATCTCCGCTTGCCACCAATGAAGAAACAAGGTGGGTGAACAGCAACAGACACTCAGACACTCAAGCACTCAAGTTAGTGGTGTGTTCAAAGTCTTGAGCCCAAAGTATTACCTTCCTTAATTTTCTTTGTAATTATATAAGAAGTTGCTTACTTGATTGTAGCTCCACTTCCGTATAAAATGCAAGTGGCTTGTTTGGTTGAGGAGTAAATTTGCTCACATGTTCCTTAATTATTTTTCTCCATAAACCCACTAACACTTTGTCCATCATGAGTAGGTAACAATTAACAAAAGAAAAGGAAAAAACAATAGGCATTTGACTGATTTGACCAACGGTGTTAAATGAAATAACAGAGGATGAATATGTAAGAAAAAAAGCTACAAAAACAAAAATTAAAACTGAGATAAACTACGGAGCTATTATTGCAATTTAGTGTGGTTCAGAGTCTTCAGACCCCTTTCGTCATCTGATCCACCAACGGCATTGCAGGCTGCAGCAATGCTAACTCACACCATCTCTCTCTGCCCTCCATCAACCATTTCTCTCTCCTCAAACCCTAAACCCCTTTTCGCTTCTCCAAATCTGCAAAACCCTACAAGAAGCAGAGCAGCACCACGCTCTGTCCGTCAAGACCGGAACTTTCAGCCACCCTTCAGTCGCCTCCCGCTTCCTTTCTCTCTACGCCGACCCCAAAATCAACAACCTCGAATACGCCCGCTCCGTCTTCGACCAAATTGAACAACCTACGTTGGTGTCGTGGAACATTCTCATCAAATGCTACGTTGGAAACCAGCGGTCGCATGATGCCATTGTTTTGTTCTATGAATTGGTTCATGAACTTGTTCCGGATAATTTCACTGTGCCGTGCGTGATTAAGGGTTGTGCGCGGTTGAATGCGATTGAGGAAGGGAAGCAGATTCATGGGTTGGTGCTGAAAATTGGGCTTGGGCTGGATAAGTTTGTGCAGAGCAGTTTGGTGAATTTATACTCGAAATGTGGTGAGATTGGTTTGGCCCGGAAGGTGTTTGATCAAATGCGTGACAGAGATTTGGTGACTTGGAATTCGTTGGTTGATGGGTATGCGAGGTGTGGAGAAGTTGAAGTTGCAATGGAGTTGTTTGATCAAATGCTGGAGAGGGATTTGTTTTCGTGGACTGTTTTGGTTGATGGGTTGTCTAAGTGCGGGAAGGTGGAGATGGCTAGGGAGGTGTTTGATAGGATGCCGAATAGAAATTTGGTTTCTTGGAATGCCATGATTAATGGGTACATGAAAGCTGGAGACTTTGAGATGGCACGTCAATTATTCAGTGGGATGCCGGCAAAAGACGTGATAACTTGGAATTCGATGATTGCAGGTTATGAATTTAATGGGAGGTATATGGAAGCATTGGAGTTGTTTCAAGAAATTTTGAAAGAAGGTATTATGCCAAGTCATGCTACATTAGTCAGTGCTCTCTCTGCTGTTTCAGGATTAGCTATCCTGAGTAAGGGGAGATGGATTCATTCTTTCATGGTAAAAAATGGATTTGAGTTAGATGGTGTGCTTGGTACATCGTTGATAGATATGTATTCCAAGTGTGGAAGCATTGAGAATGCTCTGGCCGTGTTTCGAGCTATACACAGGAAGAAATTGGGGCATTGGACTTCTATAATTGTTGGTTTAGGAATGCACGGTATGGCTGACCAAGTTCTTGAGCTATTTCTCGAGATGCGGAAGAATGGAATGCAGCCTCATGCTATAACTTTTATTGGAGTCTTGAATGCATGTAGTCATTCGGGATTGGTCGATCTTGGCCGTTACTATTTTGATCTGATGACAAATGATTATGGAATTGAACCCACAATTGAACACTATGGTTGCTTTGTAGACATTTTATGTCGGGCTGGTTCTCTAGAGGAGGCAAAGAATGTCATTGAAAATATGCCCATGAAACCAAACAAAGTAATCTGGATGAGTTTGCTTAGTGGTGCTCGGAATCATGGAAATGTTAAACTTGGTGATTTTGCAGCTCGTCATCTGATTGAATTTTCTCTGGACACTATTGGATGCTATGTTGTTCTATCTAACCTGTATGCTGCAGCTGATCAGTGGGAGAAAGTTTCACAGGTAAGAGAAATGATGAGAAAGAAAGGAATCAAAAAGGACCCGGGATGCAGTTCCATAGAGCACAGAGGTGTGCTTCATGAGTTTATTGTGGGTGATAAATCACATCCTCAGACAGAAGAGATATATTTGAAGTTGAGTGAGATAAGAGAGAAACTGAAATCCGTAGGACATGTTCCTGACACAAGCCAAGTTCTGTTGTGTCTTGAAGAGGAAAAAGAGAAGGAAGCCGAACTGGAAAACCATAGTGAGAGATTGGCTATTGCGTTTGGTCTTATTAATTCAGAAGCTGGGAGTCCTATTCGCATTATAAAGAATCTTCGCGTCTGTAGCGATTGCCATTCTGTTACTAAACACCTATCCAGTATCTATAATCGTGAGATTATTGTGAGAGATAATAGTCGTTTCCATCATTTCACAAATGGCTCATGTTCTTGTAAAGATTTTTGGTGACTGACCTGTTTGTCTGCTGCATTGACAGCTGTGTTCATCTGCTCAAAGCAAGAAGCATTATGCTTGCGCTCTTTTCAATTTGGAGCAGCCATCGGTATCATTTCTTCTGATTCAGGCATTTCTTTACATGTTCCTTTTGATGTATTTAGCATTATAGGCAGTCTTGAATGTGTGTCTTGATGTAATTATGTGACTTGTCCCTTGCAAAAACTGCCCCTCTTGTAACAGGGATGACTAATATGTCTTGCTTTCTCAAGATTCTGCATTAGCCAGAGACTTGTGCACTAGCAAGAAAAGAATCTTCGTTATACAGAGTTTGAGTTTATAGTGAGAGATAATAGTTGTTCCCATCACTTCTCTCACCCTTCATCGAAGGAAGGTTGTATGCTATGTGCCCTTAGTATGAGAGGCAATCTTCATTGTATACTGGTTCCCCTGTAGTAAATGTATGCTATACAACTTATATTGAGAGATATTGTAAAAAAAATCATATTTTTCCCAAATGGACTGTTTCATACGTTCTCTTTGTGCTTTGATTGAACTCAATTTTTTTCTAATTCCCCCGACCTAATATGAAGAAACATGTGTCTGCACTGTTAAATTGGAATAGCAATTGGTATCAGTTCTTTTGATTGTGGGAACTTATTTTGTGTCTATGTTATATATAGCAGTACAGGCTGTCCTGATGCACCTATGACCTGTCCGCATGCCGAAGCTCTCAAATTTAGAATGCAACTACACGGTCCCTAACATTCTAAATTGGCAACAGACTTGTGCGCTGCCCTTAGCTATATGGGCAAGCTAAGTTATGCTGCGGTTATATTGAGAGGTAATAGCCAATGCCATTCTCATTGTGCAATCTTCATGATACTGAGATAATAGTGAAAGATGATCGCTCTTCCCATCATTTCTTTCACCCTACGTTGGCAGAATTCGTATACCTGGTGTCCATATAGTGTAGGCAATCATCATTGCCGAAAGTTTATGCCCTCATTAAACTTCATTTGCCTAATGGTGATAGATGAAGAAATCTAAGATCAATCTATGAACTTATTGTTTCAATATTGTTTTTCTCTTGTGTATTGCTAGTTGGAAGCATCCTCCATTTGTTTCCTGGTTTAGATATACCCTATTACTGCAAAGCATGCATCTATTGACAGGAATTCTTGAATGTGCAGCACAGTTAGACAAATTACACAAAGGAGCTCGGTGTTTTTACCGGATACAGCGATTTCAATTCAAGCAGTTTCTAGTAAAATTACATCGGAACTAGTGGAGTCCACAACAAGAACACCTCAACAAAAGCAATCAGTTTGGGTAATGTTACAGATGAACAGCCATGGATTTAGGTTTCTTCACTTTCCAGGGACAAAGTTGGTGGCGAAAGCCCATGCGTTGTTGGCCACTGGATCAGCGACGTGGTCAAAGAGGTTCTCGATTGGGCCCTTTCCGGTTACAATAGCCTGAACAAAGAATCCAAACATCGAGGTCATAGCCAGACGCCCATTCTTAAGTTCCTTTACCTTCAGTTCAGCAAAAGCTTCAGGATCATCAGCAAGTCCGAGTGGATCAAAGACACCTCCTGGGTAAAGTGGGTCAAGTCCTTCACCGAGTGGTCCTCCACCAACTCTGTATCCCTCAATGAATCCCATGAGCACAACCTGGACAGCCCAGATAGCCAAGATGCTCTGAGCATGGATAAGGTTTGGGTTGCCAAGGTAGTCAAGGCCGCCCTCGGAGAAAATTTGATCCAGCCTTGAACCAAACTGCCTCGCCGAACTTGACGCCATTCTTTGACAAGATTTCTGGGAAGACGCATCCCAGTGCACCAAGCATGGCCCATCTGGAGTGGATCACCTCAAGCTCACGGTTCTTGGCAAATGTCTCGGGGTCTGCAGATAGTCCAGCAGTGTCCCATCCGTAGTCACCGGGGAATTCACCGGTCAAGCATGATGGAGTTTGCTCGGAGAATGGTCCCAAGTACTTCGGCAGGTCTGGGCCGTACCTGTTTTGTCAGTTACCGTTGAAAGTGTTGGCTCAAGAGGTATGATCATCTATGATGTAAGCTTCTCAGTGCTACATGATCACGATGTAGAGATGTAAGCTTCTCAGGGCAGGGATGTTATAACGGGGAGTTGAAGATGATGTGGATTAGGATATGTACACGTCAGCAGCATCCTATTCGTTCTCAAATGGATTTGGATTTCTAATCTGATTGATGCATAGAGAGGGGTGTTATCTCTTTGCCACGTGGCACGCAACTGCTGCAATGGTTGTGGTTGGTGAATACAGGCCACAAGTTGACCAAAAGACAAATATTTGACAGGTTCACGGATACAACAACAATAAAACCTTATTTTACTAAGTGAAGTCATTTATATGAATTATAGAAAGTTATTGTGCTCGGTTTTATCTCATGTCGTCTGTTAGATCCAAGTAATCCAAGTCTTTTCTTAGAGTCTTCTTAAATCTTTCCTTAGTCTTTTGCCCTGAGCCTCTGTCTCCTAAATTCATAATCACCTCTTCTAACCGATGGAATTTAACGGTGGATGTGATTCACTAAGAAGACAGAGTGAATCATTCTTCGAATTATTCGTTGGCTGCTGTGGAAGAATTACATTGCTGCTGTAGTTTTTGACAAAGCAGTAACAAACAGTAGCAGGCAAGGAGTAGTTTGCAGTGGAAGAAGAGGATTCAAATTTACTTGACATGGTTTATTTACTATATTTACAGTAAAAAATCAATAGAAAAAATCCCTTCCCGGCGGACTGGTACTCTACGGCTGCGTCTCAGCGGATATACAGCGAGAGTCGAGAATTTTCTGGGTGGAAACAGTATGATGATACAGAGAAGATGAGGAACAACCAAATAAGAATGTATAATCTGCGGTGGCGATGTGAGAATCCAACGCGTGAGCTCACCCTCAGTGCCGAAGTTGCTCTTTGGAGGTGAGCTGAAAGGAATTTGATGGCCCGATCAGAGCCCCACGAAAGAGCAGCCAGAGTGAAACAGATTAGCCACTGCAGTGCATTCAACTTCACACAGCTAGCTAGTTCTTTTCCGAACTCAACAACGATGACCTGCATTGTCAAAACAGCCCCCAACGCCATCAGAAACCAATGGCTGTGGAGGACTACAACCAGCACTTCCTTTTTCACCAAGTCCATGGCACTGAACAGATTAAGGACCTGGCATAAGGTGAAAGTACTGAAAATCATGGTATTCCGGACGCCTTCATTCACGCTCGGCATGAAATGTAAGATCAGCAAGACGGAAACCTGATACAAAACTTGAACCGCTATGTTTCTCCAGATGACCTTGGTTATAAGCGACTCGGTCCTCTCCTCAGGTCTTTGAATGTGTTGTAAGGTGCCTTGTAACTCCATCACCATCATGAGGCCACCAAGAAGGCACATGATCAAGTTCACCCAAATCAAATGAACTGCTGTTAGCGGGGACTCTCCCGAATGCATTGTGGCGACTAGGGTTACAAGTAAACCGGATATGCAAGCGTGAGCTGAAGCTGAGAGAAGTGCTGAATGTTGTGGTAGGCACAAGCACCAGAGTTGACAATCTTGCTTAAGAAACAGCCGTTGCCGATTATAAGATCGGCACTCTCTCTGGCCATCCCGGTTCTCCAGATATCGTGCACGATTCCTACATCAGCTTCTTTTAAGGTCAGAGTGTCACGTATGGTCAGACCTCCGTAGAATGCAACTATGCGACCTTTTTTCTTTAGCCCCTCCACCATGAGAAACTTGTCCTTGGGGAGGGAACTTCCCATCACAGAGATCAAATCCACCGCATCCGGCCTTTCCATGGAATTGAGCCTTCGGAAAGCTTGACCTTCAATTACCTTGTCATCTGAGGCAGGGGAGATCCCAAGTTCCGATGCTGTAGCTCTCACTATCGAGAGCTCATCCTCTGACACCAGTTTGATGCTTACTCCAGCTTCTCTAAGAGCTTTCACCGCCAGTTTAAGCTCTTCTTGATATGGACATCTAAGACCGACAAGTGCCAACAAAATCAGCCCATCTCCTGTAAGTTCTTCAGCTTGTGTTTTCTTGTACGCGTATGCAATCGGTCTCCGACCATCCTTCTCCATCTTCTTGATCACCTGCTCAAGTTTTCTCTTCTGGTTTCCGATATTGTGACATTCCCCTCTGTTATCATAGTAATGTGAGCACATGCCTAATATTGTTGCTGCATCTCCGTCGCAGTGAACTTGCATAATCTGCTCATCATTCTCGATTTTCCTCACCAAGATCCCTCTACATTTTTCGTCAGAGCTCAATTGTCTCTCTTCAACGGTTTCAAATCTTTGATCTGGTAACGCCGCGTTACTACCCCATCTGGTTTTCAGCCAGAAATGAGCAGATCATTTGTTGGTGACGCGGTAGCTGAAATCCCCTGATGCAGTGCCTCAAGAACTTGGTCAGTTTCCGAGTTCACTTCACCAATGCTTAAATCCTCTTCACCGATCCAAACTTCCTTGACCTCCGTCGGGTTGCACATTAGCTCTGCAGTTGTTTCGATGCAGATGACATTTATGAGTCCCATGGTGACACAAGCTGATAGATTCTGTGGTACTGCCTGATTTTTGGCCGCTTTATTGCTCCATTGAAAAAGGGCAACTGCAATCACAAAAGGCATCCCATGTTGTATCCCTATTACCGCGGTTGCGAGAACACTTGCTAAGATGGAAACCTTTCCTTGAGGTTTCAAGAAGATCTTCTCAATGGTCCTCATCACAAGATTCATTGAAACTTGCCCTTTCAGCTCTGGCCTCTCATTGTAGTTTTCGTGCTTCCTGAAGACTAGTAGGCGTATCAACATCACAATCGCAATCAGTATCGAGACACAACATGCAAGATAATCCATACAAGCATTCGGTTTGTCCATCAAAGCTTGTAGCAGTGTCTTCTCCTTTGGATTATGATCAGCCACCAAGCTCAGCACCTCAGCAAAAGCTGTATTAGCACTAATGGATGTAACAATCATGCGGCCGCGACCCTTCACAACAATTGAACCCGAAAAAACAAATGGATTATTTTCACAATCAATTTTCGGTCTCAACACCTCATCCAGCACCAGTTCCTCACCATGATCTATGAACAAACCGTCAGCAGGAACACGGTCTCCTTCCTGCAAATGAACTATATCACCCACCACAACGCCAGATATGGTAATGGGTGTAGTTTCTGTGCTACTTCGTTCAACATTCACCATCAGGTTGCTCCTATACCGCAAGTGCTTCCGCGCCAGCTTTCTCTGATAGCGGTATTTCCCCACAGAAGGGAAAGCAATAAGTAAGAGCGCCGCAATTAGTATGCCAACACCGTCATGCCAGCCGTACTTGACTCCTTGGCTCATGAATTCGATGGCGAATGAAAGCCCAGCTGAGAGCAAGAGGAAAAAAATCGTGTACTGATTGCACGCCTCAAACAAAAAGTACAAGAAACCTTTTGCATCAACTGGGGACTTGGTAACGTTCCATCCTTGCGGATTTTGACCACCATCAACGGCACCATCCTGCAAACAAGTACTCCATTATAATCAACTGAAGTAGAATCATTATGTATCAAGTACAAGATTATAGAAATAGTTATTTTCTACAGGGTTGCTTGCTACCTCAAATTGAGGCCTGAGAAGTGGCAAGATGCCGTCAACACCACCAAGTCCACGGAGTGAGTTCAAGTCCTTCTCCCTCACAATTCTGGCAACGTTGTTCGAAAACCTTTCCTGGAGAGGGATGTCAATCACATGGTCAGAGGCAGCATCAGGTGCCGTTGATGCTGTTGCTAAAGGTTCATAACTAGAGGCTTTGCGCAGACGTATGGTTTTCCTAATGCGGGATGAAAACAAAATGCCTAGAACAATACGTCTAAGCGAGGTTCCCCGGTGCTCGATGGTCTGTATAAGCAAGCCAGCAGTAAGAGAGGAGGCACCTTCAGTAGCTTGATCCTCTGTATTTGGCTCGACGACCATATTTCCTTGCGACACAAGAAAATTAGAGAGATGATCAGACAAGAAATCGAGAAAATTTGATCTCTTGCAGCGGATTTGCAGCGAATGAGAGGTTTAAAGCAAGATTGGTAAGATGAGAATGTATGCAATTAGACTCCTCCTAAACTGGTTGTGAGTAATGTGCATAGCTAGCTAGCAGTAAAACCACATATATATAGGCCATGGCTCCGAGTGAAATGAAAAGTATACCCCTCTTGCATGGAAAGCAACCAGGAAAGTACACATATTAAATTACCAGGAAAAATTGTCTCCCCGGTTTGATAGGAGGCTTTTGTACGTCTATTTCCTTCTTTCTATTCACACTATATACACGAGGAGTTTGTAACTCGAGTGACTAAGAGCTTCTATTATGCACCGGAAGTCCGGTATTACTTAGTCGACTTCTCTTTTTCTTTTCTTATTTTTAAGCGCACCTGTTTTGATATGGCAATTGAAAATAGATTTGGAGAGTTGTTCACTCCAACGAGCCTAAGTGGACATTGTCCACTTCCTATCAACCCAAGCACTGAATAAGCAAAGCTATCTTGAACAGACTCTTAAAAGTTAAGTTACTACCTACCTCTACGGAAGAGGCGTACTTTGTACCGCCCGAAGGTCATATAGATCGAAGACGTCACATATTGAAAAATTGGCACGCGGTCGCTGTGGAAAATTGGCAAAGTGGAGACCCATTCTATGCGATCAAGAGAGCAAAATACATTGTGTAGTTACTTTGTTTTTTCCTTGCCCAAAACAAAAGGGGTGTGATATCTTCGATCGTCGGATCGGATGAATTGAAGAAAATCAACGACATAAATTATTAAGGAGTGTGAAAAGTAAATAAGATGTATAGATAACACTTCACAAACAAAAAGAGAGAAAATTGCAAATGATTTATCAAGAAAAATACAAATGAGTGTGTTGACAAATTTTGCCTCAACATCCCTCTATCCCTCTCTCCCACCCTCCCTCACGCGTATTCTCTCGTTTTCTTCACCCATCACCATCATCTCTCTACTCTTTCATCCCACTATCATCAGCTTTCAAATATTTTTAAAATACCCCTTTTAAAAAATAAAATAGTGAAGCTTTTGGATATTCTTAAAATACCCCGACTTGCTTACAATTTTTGGTAAAGACAATTTTATTTAAAAAGCACAAAATAATAAAGTAACATATTTCAAAGAAAACAGTTCCAGCCAACGTAGGGCAGTTCTTTATTTTTCATTTAATTTTGAAAATAAAATATTTGAATTTCTTTTTTGTTGGAAGAAGTAAAATTTTCAAAACAAAACAATGTCGGTAGTTACGGTTTTTCTTATTGAAATTAACTCTTTTAAAATATAAAATAAAGAGGAAAAGAGTGAGAAGGGGGGTGGGGCTAGGTGGAAGATGAGAGTTGGGAGAGAGAAGAGAAGTGGATGGGAGGGAGAGGAAAATGAAAGAAAGAGAGAGAGAGGGGAGATAAGAAAGAGGTGGATGGAGGAGAGAGACAAGAGAGAGACCAGAGAGAAGTCAATAAAAATCTTTGAACTGGCCATGTTTTAGTTATATCATAAGAAAGGGGATTCTCGTCAGATCTTTTTTGTGAGGATCTTAGAGATCCTCCAATCACATTTTTTTATCGTACATCGTGTAGTCAGAAATTATTGTAATTTTTTTATTTAAAATTGAATATAAATAGTATCTGATGCAAACTGACCGTATGTACGATGAACATATGTAATTGGAGGATTCCGAATTTCTCACAAAGAGGATCCGACAAGATTCCTCTTTCGTATTAAAGAGAAGAGGTGGGGCTAGGTGGAGGAAGAGATAGGGGAGATAAGAGAGAGGTGGACGGAGGAGAGGAAGAGAGAGGGGAAATAAGACCATCTCCAACCAAATGCTAGCCAGAGGGCTCGTTTTAGCCCTCTGTCCGTCCAAGATATTAATATTTTAATGAACAGTGCATAGCCATATTTGCCTCCATCTCCAACCGAGGGTCAAAGAGCCATAAGGCTCATTTTAGCCCTGTCATAAAAAAAGGGTCTCCAATTGAGGGCCAAAGGGCCAAACATAATTTATTATTTAAATTTAAAAACAACAACTTAAATTTAAAAACTACAACTTATATTTTTGAGGAATGGTGAATGAATGGTTTAGGTATTTATAGGAAAAAAAATTAGAATTTTTAAGAATTATAAAAAAAAAAAATTGGCCTAAAAAACCAAAAAAAAAAAAATATATATATATATATATATATGTATATGAATCCAACGGTAACTGGCATCATCTAACTATTGGATTCAAAAATTTGTTCAAGAATTCCTGTCGGATATAACTGACAGGATTAATAACAATGTTGTCGGTTATATCGACAACAATGCTCACATTTCTAGCCAACCCGGGACTGGCTGGATTGGGCCAGCTCTTTGGCCCTTTCAGATTCTATGGGGCCTATGAGCCCTTTGGCCTAGCTCTCGGTTGGAGACGGTTTTCGGGCTATTTTTGACCCTTTGTCTCTCTATGACCATTCGGTTAACAAGTTTCTTTTTCTTCTTTCATGTTAGTGAAAAGAAAAAAAAAACCAATAAACAATAGGTTAACACCAATGTGGTTTAAATTATTTATAAAGATAATCGAATTTAAGACTTCTCACTTACAAGTGAAGAGGAAAACAAATAGACTGTAGTACAAAGTGACACCTCATTTTTCTCATTAACCATTAATCAAACGCATGTCTCCTAAAAGAGGACGTACAGACCGATCATGGCACTGCATTGATAGACGAAAACTACGTAACAATAGGTGGAAAGGCTCAAAAATATTTATACCATATGCAAGTCTTTAATTTCCCGATGTGGGTTCAGGCTCTCAACAGATTAACTAATAAATTGTTGTAAGTGCATTGTTCTTTCTTTTTGTATAAGGGAAGAAAATAGCATTTTGCTCCAAAATGCACAATGCAAAGTGTATGATTGCTTAAGAACTCTCACTAGATACGTAAGCTTATCATTTTTCAATGGTCTTTTAGTCAAAATGGTCTTTAAGATTAACATAATTCCTCATTTTGGTTCCTGAGATTTAATATCGATAGATGTGGTCCTGAGTTTCTCCACAGTCAACCATTTTGGTTATTCCGTGAAGATCTCCGTTAACTAAGGATCAAATGTGACAAAAAGACTCTCAAATTTGATCAAATCATTTTGACTCATTATTCATTAAATTGACTAATTGAGGATAATTTTGTTATTTTGATCTTATTTAACATAAATTTTATGAGATTCCAAAAATTTATTATCGAATAAGAGAAATATTTAGAAAAATATGTTGTGCTTATTTTTTGAAAATGTTTTAATATGAAGATAGCGTACATCATTACGAATTTGTAGCATCTTTAGGATTTCTTTTAGAACGTTGAGAAATGAACACATGGCAGCATAGGTGTGTTTGGAGTTGCCACATGGACAATATTGATAACACCACCAATGGATGACCTAGTCATCTAGTGATTTGGATTAAAAGACCAAGATTTTTTTTTTTTTTTTAAATCACAAATGATCCCTGAAATTTGGGTAGGATCTGAATGTAAAGAGAATTGGAAGGGTTTCAGTCTTATATATGTGCCATGGTCCGAGGGAAGCAACCAGGAAACTACATGTTGTAAATTGCCTGGAAAATTAATCTCCCTTGATTTTATAGACTTACTTTGATGTCTAGTAGGAGGCTTATGTACGTCTTCTTTTTTTTAGTGTCAGAGCTAATATAAGGTCATTACTCGATGAAATATCCTAGTTGACAAATCTTGATAGTTTTCAACATTCCTCCACAGCTTCTTATAATCACCCTAACAAATCTCTACAAATCATTGAAGTTGTGGCATATGTTGGCAATAACTGACAAGTTCCTACTAGATGTTTGACGAGATGGTCAGATGAAGTTTTTTCTAGTCAAAATCATGATATCCATTATTTGAAAATCCAGGGCTCTGTCATTGTTCATATTCACGCTATATACGTTAAGAATTTGTAACTCAAGTAGTTAAGAGCGTTTATTATATACCCAATGTCGGGTATTGAAAAACTGACATCACATATGGGTATGCCTATTTCTCTGCGTTTTGTTTAAAAGTAAAACATTGTGATGGGAGTAGTGGTGGTTGGCCCTTGAGGTTGAGGACGCGGTGGCTGTGGAAAATTGGCAAAAGTGGAGACCATTCCCTGCGCTCAAGAGAGAAAAATACAATGTCTAGTTTTTTTTCACTTTTTTCTTGCCCTAAAAAAGAGAGAAGAAATGCAAATGAGTGTTGACAATGTTTGCCACATTGAGGGGTTTTGTTGAGATTTTACATTCTGTTTGGATGAAGAAATTTAAGAAACTAAAGAATTTTAAAATAACGGAAACTGAAATGACGAGATTTATATTCTAGAATTTGTGAATTTTCTTGTTTGGTTAACCTAAAAGAAGAATAGAATTGAATACGGAATTTGTTATATTTAAATTCTCAATCATAGATTGGGAAATGACACTTATTTACATGGAATTTAAATTTGGAAATTGGAGGTCCAAATTCCAAGTTTTTTTCTACGCGAAAATTTTAAATTTCTATGTTTATGGAGCCAAACAAGGGAAGTAGTGCATATTAATTTATAAATTCTAACTTTTATTCAAATTCTAAGTTTTTTTTTCTCTCATCCAAACATAGTGTTAATGTTGTTTTTGCTTTGATATGGCTTTTATATTATATTTAAAATAAAAAATAAAAACTAAGAGGACGTTAGGAAGAGATCAAAGACAGTTATGGGTTCTAAAAAGAGACCTGAATTTCATTTTGTTGGAAGAATTAAAATTTTAAAAACAATATAATGTCGGCGGTTAGTGTTTTTCTTATTGAAATTAACTTTTTTAAAATATAAAATAGTGAGAACGGGTTTCAGAAACAGAACTTTAGATGCAAGGATAAATGCTTTTAATAACTTGACCTCGTCCTCGTGCTACAATGACTTGCTGCAGTGCAAAGTTAGGCAATGATGAAAAAATGGGGTGAGGACTTGGGCTGGTGTGAATGTGAAGAGAAGTGGAAGGGGTTTCAGACTTATCCATGGACCGTGGGAAGCAACCAAGAAACTACACACTGTTAATTACCCGGAAATTAATCTCCCTGATTTTTATAAACTTAATTTGATGTCTGGTAGGAGGCTTACGTACGTTTTTTTTTTTTTATTTATTTATTTTTTTTGGTTTCTTCTTATTTAGAGGCGAAGCCAGTATGGTGATTGATTGTTCATGACCAAAACTTAAAAATTCGAGATGTAACAGGTAAGGCAAACTAAATGATAACATTCTCCTCCTACTTATTCCTCTTCTATTTTTTTTTTCTACCATCCTTGTCTTTCCTTTCTCTCCTCTTGTGTGCAACTTTATCATGCGCATCAAATGCTCAATAAAATGCCTTAGTTGACAAGCCTTAGCAATCTTCAACATTCCTCCATAATTTCCTACAGCCAACCTCGACAAGTCTATACAAATTATTGAAGTTGTTGGCATATGTTTGTATAAGCCTTCGTCTTATGTTGGCAAGAATCGACAAGTTCTCGTTAGGTGCTTGACGAGATGGTCCAATGAAATTTTTTTTTTTTTGTCAAAATCATGACTCCATTATTTAAAAATCCGAACTCCGTCATTGTTTCTATTCACGCTACATAAGTCAAATGTTTATAGCACAAGTAAAACATTGTGCTGGGGCCCGGGGTAGTGTTGGTTCGCCCTTGAGGTTGAGGACGTGCTTTTCACGCGGTGGCTGTGGAAAATTAGCAAAAAAGTGGAGATGGGTTTTGCTGAGACTTATGAACAAGGCCAAAATTATTAGTCTCACTTGGTTGATATTACATCTAAAAATAAATAAAATAAAATAAAATAAAAGCTAGGAGAGGTTCGGAAGAGAGACCAAAGACGATTATCTCGCGTCACGTTGTGAGATAAAATCCCACACGACGCTGAATATGGGTTCTAGAAAGAGCTTGAATTTCTTATTTGTTTGAAGAATTATAATTTTCAAAACAAAACAATGTCAGTAGATACTGTTTTTCTCATTGAAATTTACTCTTTTTAAATATATAAAGAAGGAAAGGGAGAGGAAGGGACCAGAGAGGGCGAGGGGAGGTGGGGCCGGGTGGAGGAAGAGAGTGGGAGACAAGATAGTGGTGGACGGAGAAGACTCAGAAGAGAGAGAGGTGGACTAAGAGTCTTTGAACCGGCCGTGTTTTAGTTGTATTAAAGCATTTAACTGTACATTATGTAAGTAGTATTTTTTTTCATTTGTAAGTAAAATACTTTAGATTTGGTTTTCGTCAAAAGTGAATTTGAATCACATTATTACTAGCTCATTATGAGGTTAATATCATCATCTTCCCTTTAGTGTAAATAATATCGTGTGTTAAAAAAATAAAACAAAAGCATTCAACAATACATTATGTTTGAAAGAGATCCTCTCTGGATCTCTTCCATCAAGGCCACTGGATCAAGTGATCCGGACCTTTGAAATTTCATCAAACGGTTAAAAATTATTATAACTTTTAAGGGATCAAAACAGGTGGATCGTTGGATGAAATTTCAAAGGCTCAGATCACTTGATCTGGTGATCTTGATGGAAGATATCCGGAGATGATCTCTTTCCCATTATGTTCACCTTAATTTTCCCATTAACCACTAATCAAACACAATTTTTTATTATTTTTTTCGTATCGGCAAGTTAATAACAAATATCCATATTCTATTTTCTGTAAAAGTAAAATAAATGACGAACACGTTGTAAGCATACAATATTATGAAGAAAGTTGAAGTTCAAATCTCAAAACTACATAACAATAAGCGGAAAGGCTCAAAATCATTTAAACTATTATGCAAGTCTTTAATTCCCCGATGTGGGTTCGGACTCTCAATGGATTAACTAATTGTTCTTTCTTTTTGTACAAGGGAAGAAAACAGTATTATGCTCCAAAATGCACAATGCAAAATATATGATTGCTCGACAACTCTCACCATGATAAGTAAACATATCATTTTTCAATCCCCTACATAACGTTAAATAATCACACTTCATAACTAATTCATCTTCCACCTTCTAACTTCAATAAATTTGATAGCTAATCTTCATTTCTTTATTCAATACACTACGAATTCAACAAGTTATCTAATCTAATCCAATGTTAGGGACTAAGCGTGTCCTAATCACAAATTTAATAAGAAAATTAGTTAAAAATATTACTACCTCTAAGCGAGATAAAACACCAACACCACGAAATGGACGTCGGTTTCTAAGTCACAAAGGAAAATCCCAAATCCCCTAAAAAATTTAGGATATCAACGCCTTACAATTAATTCGTCTTTTGCCCTTATAGTTCAAACATGGTCGACTTAGCAGCTTAATTAAGAAAAATTAGTTAAAAATGGCATCAGATAGTATATCGACAAATACATTGAAAGAAAACTCACTACGTTCTTCAAATATATTTTTCCTACCAGAAAACCGGTATAGCATTAGATACGTATATCGACAAATATTCCTATAAACTTCGTTGGAGAATTTCGCCAAGGGTAAAAAGAAAGCGAAGTTTTAAACCATATGGACTAGTAACCTACGAATTTAGAGGTACGGGAGACCTCCGAAAACTCCTCACCGTGATTCATGCTAATCAACTGTGTTACTCCATAGGCACAGGACCTTCTTCGGTATCATCCTGTAAGCTACCCAACATGATTGCGGTCAGCATTAGCTTGCCTGCCTCGGAGTAATCTTTATGCTGCATGAGTATGGCTTCCACAGAAGAAACTGTATCTTTCATGACTGTAGGCTCTGCGATTTCTTGTCTCAGCGGCAACACTTCCTCAAACCCTTCTCCAAAAGTTTCAGCTTCGGGTCCATAGCATCTGTTTGAAGCCTGGAAGAGCACAGTGTCTTTCAGGTTCTGCAAGGTTTCTTCATCACCCCACCCTTCGGATACTGATGCTTGATAGAGTTGACTCCAATCATCTTGATCAGCAGCGTTTCTCCAGCAATGCTCCAAAAGGTTTGCGTGGGTCTGACGGAAAGAGGGGCTGGTCCATGCAAAAACATCAAAAGCCCGCAATGAAAGCTCTGCGCTTTCACCTTCAAGGCACAGCTTGATAAGATCTTCCGGATGAAGTAGCTTTGTGTCAAGGCTTTGCTTTGTTTCATCATCAGGAAGGAGGTTTAGTATTTCTTCCTGCAAGAGATGATGTATCAGGTGAAGACCGACGGTGGATGAACAGAATCGAAGGGGATTCACATTCAACAGTTAATAGTTATTGAATAACGAAGCGCACAAGATTGCAGAATGCAATTCACAAACTTTTCTTTGATCTTATAAAAGAGGACAAACAACCTACAAAACACTACATGTAATGAAAGATTCCACCAAGACCATTTGGGTTTGGTTGCCCAAGCACAGGAGTTCTGACACAAGAGCCTTGGAATTCAATAAAATGGAGATAAACAAATCAATTCGCAATATGTGTATGGACTAGTCACCAATAAACTTTCCCGGTGTTTCCCTCCCAGACTTTTGGGCAAGAACTGCCTTGATTTTTACATTCTTGGTCACCACTTCTGATTTCCATTAGTCCTATCTTAAGAAAAGGTTATCCCCCTTAATAAGTGGAGAGGGAGAGGTGGAAAACTCTGTTATATTATACGTAACGTAATAGTTACATATTTGTTGGGAAATACGTCACTCAGAAAAAGCTAACAATCATTGACACGTGTTCCTTCTAATTATGTTGAGTGTATAGACCTTGAAGTAATGTGAAATTGTGTCCTTGCCAGAAAAAGGAATTTCGTTCAATAAGGACATACAAAGAACAAGACAAAACCTTCTCAACTTACTAAGCTTGAGTTAACTGCCCATGCAATTAATCCAAATGATAAAATATGTAACCTCACCATTTGGGAATCTGGCTCTAAATCGCAGAGAGGTGCAATGACTAAAAGGAAATTTATGGAACTGCCACCAACCGTACAATACAAAGGGTGGATGGGGGAAGAGACACGGCGCATGATTTGTTCCTGTTAACCTAATTCCAATCATAAAGGTAGAATTCCTACTCTTTTAATTTTTCTTTTTAACTAAGGTGTGATAATTCAAGATTAATTTAACAAAAGCACTTAAAAGAAAGGAAAAATAAAAAATCAGGAAGAGGCTTCAACTAAAAAAGTTAACAAAATTTATCTTTAAAACTCAACAGACCTGCAACTTTAGAATCTTCAAATCAGCCTCAATGCGCTTCACTTTGGTCTCAGAATCAGCATCTTTACCTACATGTGAAGCAAATAATTATATAACAGTTTACCTGTATAACTTCTCTAGCTATAACAAGACATCTTACAGACTCAGATAAAACAAACAACAATAGCAAGTAATTTTCTTATATCTCCCCATGCCCAAATAATATTTTGATCAAGAATCTCCAACAGCCCAACAGCGAACCATGTAGCAATTCTTAACGCACGGAAGTTTATACATAATAAAGAGGCACTTCGCCATCTTCTAATTGAGAGGGAAGTATACAAGAGCCACAGTGAGCTTAAAGTCACTCAAGCGGCTTGACTTGATAATTTGTATAAATTACTATATCAACTTGATTTTGCGACAAAATAAAACTTTTTTAAAAGAATAAGAAATTATGGAGTATGCAGTGTAAAGAAAAACAAAAAATTCTGAAGATAGAAATTCTATAAAGAAACTATTTAGGGAAGATCGATGAACAAAACACACCTGCTATTGCAGCTATTTTTGAGAGGTTCAAAAGACGCTTTCTGTCTGCCAGTTTCGGTAACATAGTCAGATACGTAGGACCGGTCCCCTCTTCAGCCTCGGAAATTGAGTTTTCGGCTTGAGAAAGAGCTAATTCATGAAGAGTTTCCGAAGCTGGGGAAAATTGATGAAGGTAAACTTCATGAAGCCACAGAAGGTCTTGATGATACTTTAAAAATATGGATAGCTCTTCATGAAACTCTTCCCCAAGCCTTAGAAGTTTGGAATATTGCCTTCTCAGATAGAGTTGTTTGAACACATAGTAACTGAACCCTCCATTAGGCCCCATGCTGTCGTGCTATATAAAATCATTTTCCGGAAAAAGGAAAGGCAACAAATAAGACAAGAAAATAATAATATCAAGCAATATCTTCAAAGCAAGGAAACCTATGTTTTTAAGTTTTAAACTAAGCATAATAGTGAAAAACAAAAACTTAAAAGATGTTTTAAGTAGGACTAAACATTAAAAAAATTAAACAAGTTGCAAAAGAAAACATGATTAGTCTCCTGTATAAGATAATTTCAAAGTAAATGTTCAAAATTGTGGCACCAACAGGTAAAGGAAAAGATTTCAATGGATAATCAAAAGTCTACCGAAATGATCCAGTGCACAAGCACAGAATTACTGTTTAAACAGAGAAACCATTCTCTAAGTTTTAAAAAACAAATGAAAATAAATAACATGGCAAATAAATTGTAACAGCCCTACCATCAGATTTCTTAGTAGTCCAGAATCATTTAGGTCACAGCAAATTTTCCATAATGTACTGTAGCATTCATGCCGTTTTGCCATGGGCAACAAACATGATGAAAGCCTAGCAAGAATTTCGTCTTTTAGATCCTCAGTTCCTTCATTTAAATTCTGCAAAGACAATAAATTCAAGGATAAATATTTATCCAGCATCAAGACCATAATGATGTTATTGAGTAAAAAATAAGGAAAAAATAGAAGACCTGATGCCCAGCTTCCACAAATTCTTTGACTTGTTGATAAAGGGTGTCTAGAAGTGCATCCCTCCTATTCCAATACTCATCCAATAAGCCTTTGTGTTCATCTCCTTGTTCAACTTTAGCTGTGACAGCACCAGCATATGCCTCCAGCAAAACTTCAGCCAGCGCTTCCAGATGAGTATATAAATCTAATTTGGCAGACACGTCAAGTTGAGATGCCTCCTTTAACAGCTGCAGCATGAGGAAAGCGAGGTGCCACATCCCATTGCGTACCACAGCTTGAGAATACCAAGGTGTCAAGCTCTCAGGTGGTGGATACCATAAGTGATGCTCACTTCTGTATTGCATGGCTGTACGAACTATAGTAACACATGCATTTGACAGTTCACAAGCTCTCTGAACCTGAATCTCAAATGGCTGCTCTGCACTTATTACATACTCTAGCTGTTTGTCTAAGCAATCGAAAACTTGTTCAAGATCTGAAACTTTACTGTAAAATACTTCAGCATTGTCCCTGTCCATCAGAAGAACAGTATTCCGGCGCGCTCGCTCACCAACTAACTGGATAAGATCCCAGAGAGCTCCTGATATTTGATTTTCTGGACTAGAACGGGATGGGCTACGTCCACGGGAGCGGTTCTGGCCGATAATGTTCTGCAATTCCCTTAGTTGAATCATTCCAGCAAGCTTCTCACCATGTTCCAAGATAATTTGCAAAGAATGTCCTGCCAGACAAAATAAATAAATAAAACCGAATCTAGGCTGGTCAACAGCACCCCACTGAACCGTCAATCGATATACTCCTCAATGAATCTTCGACCTCCATGCTTTAGGAAATATGGTCATCTACAAACTAATTAATATACACTATGTCCAGTAGATATACTGATGAAAAATTAGCAGTTAAGCAAAACACCAAAAAATTCCCGGGCAACAAAAAATTGGATAAGGAGATGCTCTTGTAATAAAATTTAACTGGACATTTGACAACCTAAAACATGTTAATTGAGTGCTGTAAGCACACACGCAAGTAAATGCAGGTTTACATATATCATTAATGCATGAACTTTCAAGTTTCAATATATGCCATGTCAACTGGAGATGGATTTGACATAAAAACATTATACATAGTCACTATAAAAGGCACAAGAACATACTCTGTCTTGAACACAGCTCCTCATGACATTTGGATAAAGCAAGAAACTGGAGAAACTTTGCGTGCTTCTGTTGCTTATCCATGAGTTGGGAGGATACAACAGCCATTGCTAAAATCTCAGCTCCTCTAGTTGTTGTCCAGTGCTTCGCTAAAGTGTCAACAATTGATTTGCTCATTCGTGCAAAAGCATTCGTCTCTCTATCCCTTTCGAATGCCCCAGATCTTTTTAGCTTTTCAAATGAGGCATCAACTTGCCCAGATAAATGATAATCTTGGAACAGCTGGCTAAGTAAAGTTTCTGATTCTTCATCTTGAGCAGTTTGACGTGCAGTTACAGTCGTAGCCCTTTGTCTATCTCCAGCATCCCAAGCTTCAGAAGTAGCCCTTCTAGGCGCAATATTGCCCAAAAATGAGAGGTTCTTTCTCTCTTCTTGTGCAGATCCTTCATTTGAGCTACCTTTACGTGACAAACTTCGTTGAGGAGGTTCAACCCCACCAAGTATAACAGCCTTCTCGGGTATTGCCCATATCCCAGCCTTCTCAGTAAGCACAACCCATGCCCCTTCTTCACCATCATCTGTAGATGGAAGAATTGAAGCATCTAGAACCTTACCAGCATCATAAGGTAGGTCAAATTTATAAAGCCGTGTAGAATTTCTAAAGTAATGGGATACTGTTGCCGTCCCATCACCAGAAAGTATGATTGCTGATCCTTGAGGCTTACCTCCTACTCGCAGTTTCATGGAGAATAAGAAGTCTTCCTCTTCTACTCTTCCTTTTGGGATTATCACTTGGACAGGAGCTTTTTTCTCTAAACTGATTCCAGATTTGTATTGCATGGTCAAAAGAGAATACTGTGTGTAGCTGGAACTACTACCCCGGTCCAGGCAGAAGGTGGCAACTAGAATGGTAGTCACTTTACCGTGATAGTCTACCTGCATATCAAGCGGCCAGATTCGCTTCTGCCCGGCCAAATCTTTCTTAATTCCCGAATCACCATCTGAGCCAATAATCTCATGAGACCAGAGCTTTGACACAATGAAATCAGCACCAAGTTCAATACTAAGGCATTGAATCTCACGATCTGTCAGAAGAAAAAACCGCCGGTTAGAGTCCTGAATTTGAAGATTTGGGAAACACCAGGTCAGTGACCTTGGATAGCCTTTGCTTCCTAAAATTTGAACATTGTCACCCCCTAGGGAGGGAAGAGTTTGATCGTCCAGATATACTTTCTTGCGGCTAACACCAGAGGGCTGCAATGAAACTGCCATAGCTGGCCATCTGAACTACAGGTAAGTGCAACGCACACATCCTGGGAATCAGGGACTGCAGAAGCAATCAAAGAGTTAAATGTAAAAAACCCAGTCAAACTACCCCTGTGCCTGCTGATCGGTTGTTGCTGCTTTGGTGTGGTCTTCCTATCAATAGGTGAAGAATTCATCTCCAATTCATCAGCAGATGCAACACTAACAACGGGGTCAGTTCTCTCTTCAGCATAAATTTCAGGCCAGTACACAACAGCTCGAGTTTTCTTGTGACACAGTACAATACCAGCGGAGCTACAATGTTTTACAACTTTCTTTGTTCTCGTGGATGCGCTATCCCAATTCACAACACAAAGCAACCAACAGTTCCCACCACTCCTGCCAACATCCCGACCTTCAAAGACATTCGAAGGAATTTCAAGAACATTGCAATTCGTCGACACTGCAGGAGACAGATAACTCCACACAAAGAGTCTGTTTCCGCATATAATCCATGTCAGGGATGTTCCCCTCTCCATTCCACCGGATACATATGCATCACCTGAAAGAAGACAAAAACCGAGAAAGTGTGTGAATATCATATACCCTCCCCAAATTAATCATTTCATTCAATAACCAAGCTCATTGAGTAAACCCTACTAACCATGAGCATGCTTCTGCAGCATATTGGCCTGTCCATCACGAACAACTTGCGGAAACTCTCCGACAAAGACGGGCTTAGTTTCATCCCCCTTTTCATTTTGGTTCGCCGGTAAAACCCTAACCAAATCCAAATGGTTGAAATTCAACGATTACATCCACAAACATAACTCCGAAATCACCACATCCAATTGAACCCAACAATCAATCCCACAACGCATTATCGACAAACCAATTTCAGAAATCCAAAGAACCAACACATGATAAGATGTGTTACCTGGCGAGAACAGATAAGCGAGGAGCCCAGGGAGCCGGGGTGCCGGTGCTAGGCCGATTCGGGAAAGAGTTGTCCGAGCCGGGCCCGAGGTTCTCGGTGAGGGGCGTGGCCGGAGATCCTAGATCCCGGCGAGGGTTCGCATTGGGTCGCTTGGTTCCGGGAGAGAACATCGGTTAGGTTTTTGCTCGGCGAAGAAGAAGATAGAAAAAAGCGAGGGAAATTTGGGGGTTTTGGGGTTTTAGGGATACACTCTGAACTCAAAAATTGGAAATGAAGAGTGCGTGTGCCTTGACCCTTGAGTGAGTAGAAATTTGATGGTGGGCTTATCACCTGCGGTCGAGCTCACGACTTGAGAGGAATTACAACCGTTCATTTTATACAAGGGTGAGAAACGTTTTTGATACTCTCACAAAAGTTATTTTACATTGTTTTTGAACAAACAATGTTATCTACACTAACGAAGTAGAGAGTAGGCTAAGTTTTGCAATGGACTAGACATAATAATGTGGTTCAAATTCGTCTTAAGTAAGAATCGAATTTAAGACCTCTCACTTGAGAGTGAAGAAGAATACGACTAAATCGTAGCACTAAGTAAGAAATTATTTTGCACTTTGTTTCTAAATAAAAACTTTGGATTGTATAATAAATTTTTCTGGAGTGTTGCAAACAACAACGCAATGATAGGGGAGTCCTACTCTCTTACGATCCTCATTTTGAGTACTTGTGAGGACTAAACAGAAGATTATATAGTTTAGATCTAAAGACAATATTTGGCAACAAAACAAGAAAATCAGTTATCTAATGGTTCATGGACTTTAAGTTGACTTTGCTTTGCTGAGTTGTAAACTAATATAATCTTGTGACTAATATGCATTTCATCGTTACAAATACTGAAAATAAGAATCTTAAGCAAGCAAGATTGATGATAGGGAGGAGGATTGGTTAGGCCATACAGTGAGCCAGCAACAAAAATGAATTGGTTAATTAGATATTGAACTCAACGCCAATATAAAATAACATCGGCATCCATATGAGTCAAAACAAAAAAAACTTGTCACTTATAAATAAAGAATAATACTACTAAAATATAGTACTAGTTATTTATTTAATATAGACGGTTATTATGTTCAAACCATACGGCAAAAAGACCAAATGTGAGAAGACAAAATGAAAGTCGCTAGAATTCCCTTTTGAATAGCGCTTATTGTTTGTCCACATTTGATAGTACAAGGGACCTTGGTACAATTGTTTAAGCGACCCAATCATGTCGGGGAAATGGGTTGGGTTCATTGAATTACGTACGAAATGGGTTGAGGGTTATAAATTTTAAAACTAATTTTATGATAAAACTCTATCAATGTGTTTAGTAGGTGGGTTGAATTGGATTGAAATATTATTAATTTGACTACAACTCACCATCCACAGGTACAAAATTGTAGGGGTGGGCTCGAAAAGTTGCAAACCGAAAAAATCGAACCCAAATTGTAAAAAAAAACTGAACCAATAACTAGTGGTTCGGTTTCGACTTTGATGGTTTAAAAATGAGCCAAACCAAATGAGATATAAATTAATATTTTTTATTTATATAGGTTGGGTATTCATTTTCGAAACCCAATTGCAAGTCAACAATTACCCAACTTCAATTCAAGGTTGGTTGGAGTTTGTATGCATATATATATATATATATATATATATATATATTATCAAGATACTTGATATTTTAATCTTCATATTATTATATATATATATATATATTATCAAGATACTTGATATTTTAATCTTCATATTATTAGTAATTTGGTGCAAATATTAATATGTTATATGGGTCTATTGGTAAAAGACCGAACAGGTATTTGGATAGGCCAAATTCAAAATTTCATACTCATCACTTCAATTTGAATTTGACTTATGCATGCAGTTTCTTAACTTCCTAATACCTATTGGGAAAGGATACTTAGCATCCTATATAATACCAAAGAGGTCAGACACGAAAGAATATAATAATTATAGACATCTACTGCATATAATATACAGATTATTTGGAAGAGAAAGCATTCAAAAGTTTGCTAGAATTCAAAGTTCTGGTGCTGGAACTTTGAATTATAGATGGTTGGATCCTAGGGGACGGATGTCCGTTGAACTACAAGCACGGAGTAGGGCACAATTCTATCTTTAGGACACTGCAAAATTTGCAGGCCTCTATCTTTTTGATAAGTCAGTTTTTCTACTTTCTTGTTTCTTTTAGTTTACAATATTTCAATTATGAATTGGTTGTAATACAATATTGGATTATAGTTATTTCAGTTGTATATTATAATTTGTTATCGACAAAGTTGTATTTTGATTGTTTGTTCCAACAATCTAAAGGCAGAATTGTGATGGATCAAACATCAGTGAATGCAATAGGCGTTAAGAATCCTCTTCATGAGAAACTAGAGAAATTCAAGGGTCTGGACTTCAAAAGATGGCAACAAAAGATGTTGTTCTTCTTGACCACTTTGAACCTAGCCCATGTTGTGAAGGAGGAGGCTCCTGTGGCCACTGAACTACCAGCGGATAAGGATATGTTGTCTGCAATAGACGCTTGGACTCATTCTGAGTTTCTTTGTAGAAACTACATTTTGAATGGGCTGGATGATTGTCTGTATGATGTATATTCATCATGCAAGACTGCCAATGACCTTTGGGAGTCACTGACCAAGAAATATATCACTAAAGATGTTGGATCTGTCATTTGTAAATTTCTGAAATTCAACATGGTGGATTCCAAACCTGTCATAGGCCAAGTTGAAGAACTCCAACGCTTAATCCATGATTTACATGCTGAATGATGCTTTATTAATGAACACTTCCAAGTTGGGGCAATCATTGAAAATTGCCTTCATCTTGGAATGACTTTAAAATCTATCTGAAGCATAAGCACTGGGAGATTGTCTCTGGAAGATTTAATTCTCAGGCTAAGGGTCGAAGAAGATCACAGGAAATGCGACAAAGTTGATGAGTCTTGCATGGAAGCCAAGGCCAACTTCATTGAGGCAAGCAATCCAAGGCCAAAGCATTTCCAGAAAACAAGGAGAAGAATGCTAAAAAGAAATACAACTCTGCTATCCATGCACCAAAAGCAAAGGACTTTAAAAAAATCAAAGTAGCATGTTGTGTGTGCGGAAAACCTAGGGCATAGAGCGCAAGATTGTTGCTACCGAAAAGATATGAAATCTACCAATTCAAACACCAATAATGGTAGGACCAATTAAGCCAATGTGACTGAAGAAGATATGTTGGTTAATGTTGTTTCAGAAATCAACATGGTATCTGATACAAATGATTGGTGGATTGACACTGGAGCAACGAGGCATATTTGTGGGGACAAAAACTTGTTCTCTACCTATGAACCAAATTCAAGTGGTGAAAAGCTTTATATGGGAAATGCCTCCGTTGCAGAAGTTGTTGGAAAAGGAAGAGTTGTACTAAAGTTCACTTTTGGGAAGGAACTTACCTTGCTGAATGTTCCTGAAATTAGGAAAAACTTAGTTTTAGGGCCTTTGTTAAGCAATAAGGGCTTTACGTTAGTGTTCGAATTTGACAAATTCGTGCTTAGCAAGGGAAGAATGTTTGTAGGCAAGGGTTATTTGGCTAAGGAATAATTCAAACTCAATGTAATTGTTGATGTTTCTATTAATAATATAAATAAGGCTTCCGTTTATACTATTGAGTCTATTGAATTTTGGCATGCTAGATTAGGCCATATTATTTATCGATCAATGCATAGAATGGCTAACTTAGGACTAATACCAAAACATGTTATAGATGTCAATAAAAAATGTGAAATATGTGTTGAATCAAAGTTTGCTAGACAAACTTTTAAATCAGTTTTTAATAAGTTCAGTGAGTTGCTTAATTTAATACATAGTGATTTATGTGATTTTAAATCAACACCAACTTGAGGAGGAAAGAATTATTATATTTCTTTAATTGACGACAACAGTAAGTATTGCTATGTTTATCTAGTTCATAGCAAGGATGAAGCCTTGAATATGTTTAAGACATATAAAGCCGAAGTTGAAAATCAACTTAATAAGAAAATCAAAGTCCTACGATCGGATAGAGGAGGCGAGTATGAATTTTTTGCCTTTGCAGATTTTTGTAATGAACATGAAATTGCACATCAAACGACGACATAATATGTGGGGTGAAGCTTTGCTTACTACAAAATGGTGTAGCGGAAAGAAAAAATAGAACTTTAAAAGATATGATCAATTCCATGCTTAATAGTTCCAGGCTTCCACATAATATGTGGGGTGAAGCTTTGCTTACTGCAAACAAAATCTTAAATCAAATTCCACATAAGAAAACAAATCAATCTCCTTATGAATTGTGAAAGGGAATGATATCCACATATAAAACACTAAAAGTGTGGGGTTGTTAGCTGAAGTTCGAGTTCCTTTGCCAAAGAGAACTAAGCTCGGACAAAAAACTGTCGATTGTGCATTCATTGGCTATGCTAATAATAGTGCAGCGTTTAGATTTTTAGTTGTAAAATCTGAGATTGTGGATATACATGTGAACACAATTTTGGAATCTATTGATGTTGAGTTCTTTGAGAAGATCTTTCCATATAAAGAGAATAAATTAAGTTCTTGTAAAAAGAGATCGCATGAACAAATTCATGATGATGCTCCACCAACATCTGATGTCCACGTAAAGTGTTTTTGGAATCCACAAATATTTTCTCTAAAAGCTCTTTCAGTCATTTTAAAAGCATTTTAAAACGAGCTCGAAGTTTCCAATAAGTTTGGCAAGCCATATAAAGGATCGAATTGTATATATAATATAATAGAAATTGTTTGATGCTCATATGTACTAATTATGCACCGAATAAATTAAACTGGTCCCACCATTTTAATACACATCACACCCACTAAGTTATACTCCCTAAAACCTCCGTATAATTTAGTCGAGTCACAAGTTCAACCTTTATGCTCGCATCGCGAAACCTCATCCAAGTATTCCTATCTCTTTCTCCCTCCCCACCTTCGATCAACATCATACAAACAGAAAATCAGAGGTGGCAAACCTAGGCTATGATGTCCTTATTTAGACATTCATGGTGGCGGATGAACTAGAACTGGAGAGCTGCACCCTTCTATAGCCGTCTTCACCACCTAAATCA